ATTTTAGAGCACATGTCAGGTTCCAGTATCAAAAGGTTGGAAGCCCCAGCATCCTTTATCATCTTCTTCACCATGTTTTTCAGACCTTTCTCCATTTGAAGACATCTCGTTTTCTCATCCTTTGTTAGCCGTCAGTGCCTGCCCGTGAGCCAGGCACTGCCAGCTCTGCCCCATCCTCAGTGCTGACATCCGAGTGTAAGAGCCATCCCTGTGCTTCACGTTTCTTTTGACTGACGTGACTGGGGGTGGAGGGACTGGGAGATGTGTGAGGAAGAACTTAGAAGAGCCAGTATTGGTATTAAAGAAGAATCACAGGCTTAGGGCAGCTAGACAGTCCTTGCTGTCAAAATCAGTACCAAAGTTCACTGTATTTTATAATTGTTATTTCTGTAGATCTTAACCTATCCTTGGTACTGAGGGAAGATGGTGGATTGTAGTTTGTGACTCTGGCCCAATTTCCTTAACCCCAATAGTATATATACCCTTTGCCTGCCTGTCAGTATTGCTGTGTTGATCAAGATATAAAATATTGTGACACGTGAATTGCAAAGTTCTCTACAGTTATAATTGCTTATTAGTTCTATTTATTTATAATTCAGCTTGCTTTTACTGTATGTTGGGCACTCTGCCAGATGCTGGGAATATCTAAATTAATATATATGGTCTGGCCCCTCAGCAGTGCTCCTAGCCAAGTAAGATGGACCTCTGCAAGGAGTTACACTACCAAGTGGTAAGGGCAAAAGTAGCTAGCTGTATGAAGAATGTAAGCAGCCCAGAATGAGGTACCAGTGGTCTTTTTTTCTAAGATCAGGCTGTGTCTTGGACGTGTTACTGGGTGAGTGACTCTGGACTGGGTCTTCAGGATGAGCTGGAGATGGCTTGCCTGGAGCACACCCAGCCTGAGGACTGTGGTCTTTGCTGTGCTCGCTGAGCCCGGGAGAGCCTCCCCCGACTTACGTGTCAGCACATCTTGAGGAAGCCTGCTTAGCTAGGTACATGGCAGACTCATGCCCTCTTATCAAGGTTGTTGTTTTCGGGTGATGTTGGGCTTGCTAGCACAGCTGACCCAGGAGTGCTTGGCATGGAAATCTTCTTAGCCTGGCTGTTGTTGCTGTTCTCTGCAGCCCTCAGAGTGGGGTCTTCAGAGTCATAATGATGGCCTTAAAAAAATAAAAAAATAATAATAATAAAAAAAAGTTTAGGAAATACTGCCAGGCAACCATAGTTCATCTAAACCCTGTCATTGACTAATTATGTAATCTTGGCAAGTGACATAAAGTCCTTGACTTTCAGACTTCTCTATAATACAGGGATAATAGTACACATGTTATTGGACTGTTAGGATGATTAACAATAACTATATGTATGTAAAGTCAGCGGCAGTGAAGTTCCTTTATGAAGGTAGGTTTGGGCTCAGTATAAGTCAGGACAACTGATTAAGAAGTAGTGAGCAATGTACCAAGAAACACAAACAGGCTGGATGTCTGCCCATCAAGACTCTTTGTTGCCATGGGTCCCTGGGTTATATGGGCCAAAGGTCTTGGTAACTATGATTTTTTTTTTTTTTATGGTTCTGAATGCTCAGCTGCACATGGAGCAGGTAAAAGCTCAGAGGAAAGAGGATTTTAGCTGCTAAGGAGTTAAGAGGAAGAGAGAAGGAAATACATCTAAGACAGGGACACAGATGGGACAGATATGACAGACAGGTGGGATTATCGCTGTTCCTCTGCCAGCTCATTCCCTGTCTTGACCACAGAGTCTCAGCCTACCTGCTCACTCCAGCAGACTCCCCTTGTGGCTGGGCAGTGGGCTCCTATCCTCAGGTGGAGGAAACATTAAATTAGTGGTAACAGTAAACAAGTCGCCCAGCCGTGGATGCCGCGGGCTGCTTATAAGTAATGGTTATAAACATCCAGTGTCTGGTGCTGTCAGAAATGCAAGCACATATCCGAGTGCCTCTCATATGTACAATTAAAACAATAAAACATGGTAGAAACGTGGCCAGAACAGGCTATAAGTCAGGTTCTCTTCTCAGCTTCGAGTGGCAGCTGAATAAAGATGAGTCCTGAAGAACTGGGTTGGCACAGGGCTCTTCTAGGGTGAAAGCTTGTCAGATTGGACCTACAGAGCCAAGAACCCCTTCCCACAGGGGCAACAGGTCCTGGCCTGCTCCAGCTGACCTCCCCATCTCTTGCCTTCAGATGGGGGACAAGACTGTGCAAGCTGGCGCATCACAAACCAGTGGACAAGTGCCCTGGAGTTCAGGAGGTGGCTAGGAGTCCCCGTTGGCGGTAATGGAACTGCTCTCTATACTATAATAGTTCTTATCCCCAGGCCGTGCTAGGTGTACTCTCCAATATTCATTCTTTATGTAAGCTAACCACCCATTGTATAAGTTAAGCACCATGTACCCAAACCTTCCCTGGCACAGTAGAAAATGAACGACCCCAGACAATCCAGACTAATAGGAATCCAGAGACTCCCAGGGGAGAACTTGGGTCTTATCCCCAGAGACCTACATGCATGTCAGCCCCACTTACCCCGCCCAAGTGAAGACAATGCAGACCACAGGTAGTCTTGTAGTCTAATGCCCAGATGCCTTAACACATCTTGGCCTTGGTGTCCCTAGAGAAGAAACCCTAGATTGCCACTCTTGGCTTCTTTCACAGATGTGCTTAAGCCATAGTTGATTTGTAGACCACTTAGTATCTGTGATGCCTGGAGCAGTTCCCTAGACTTCTTAGAAACTCTCCTACCCAATTTGTAAAATAAAAGTTATTAAGAGAGCTGGGAGTAATGTATTTCTCCTTCTCCTAATCCTGGAACATAGGAGGAATCCCATGAATAGAAACCTCTGTTTGTGCCTCATCATGATCGTTAGTCTAATTATGTCCATAGGAAACTACAGGGTCTTTGACCCTTTATCCTTAAAGAGCCAAATATTAATTTGAGTCTAAGAAATGGATTGTGTGCTACTTAATGATATGACATTGGGCAGTTCATCCTGTTTCTATGCTAGTTTTCTCATCTATAGAGAATATTTCTCACACCACATATTTGTTGTAACAGTCATTTGATTGCTGGTGTGGTGTTGCATGCCTATAATCCCAGCACTCAGGAGGCTGAGGCAGAAAGAATGAAAGTTTAAGGCCAGCCTGAGATATACTGTGAGGCCCTGTGAAAAGACCCATTCTCCCAACACCAGGGGAAAAAACATTAATTGACGTACTTATGAAAGTGCTTGTATGATATGAAAGCAAATATGATATACTAAGAATGACAGCTAATGATAATAAAGATTGGGTACAGTCGAGACCACATTAGACCAGGGTCCAGATCACAGCGGAGCTCAGAATGAAGAATGTTGGGCTGAAGTAATCAAGGAAATAAAATTAACCTTGATTCTCAAAGTCTAGGAAGATTTGAGGCAGCTGCCAGAGGACAGAGAGGTGGGTATGGATAGGTAGAGGGGAGCAGAGTTCTGTGTCCAGAACTCTCAGGGGCGCGAAATAGAGAAGCTCTGTTTCAGACTGCAGAATGAACGTGTTCGGACACACCATTCATGGAGCAGTAAACCACACAGCCACACAGCATTGGTAGACAGGGAGAGATCAAGATACCAGGGTTTTATCATCAAAGTCCTAGAGGTGAGGGACTGCAGGATTGACTGCTTCAAAGGGTAGCAAAGGAGGGTATGATAATGAAGCTGTACCATGTCAATAGCAGGTTTTATATATATATATATTGTTCAACATTATGTGCTCAGTAAAGGAAACTAAGGCAAAAACAGTGATGTCCAAGGACTGGAGAGATGCCCAGCACTTATGATCACTTGCTGTTCTTCAGAGGACTAGAATTGGTTTCCTAGCACTCACATCAAGTGGATGATAACTAACTCTAGCTCTAGAGGATTTGACACCCTCTTCTGGCCTCTGAGGCTAAGTATGTGCGCCAGCATACACACTACACACATTCACACACAAAGAATAAGAATAAAACTTTTTTTTTTGAAGCAGTGATGTCCATTGTCAACAAAACCGATTCCTTCCCTTGTCTAGAGCTCAGAGACCATCCCGGGTTGCATGTGCCTCTCACTGAGTATGCCAAGACCTCTGGCTTCTCCAGAGGCTTGGAAAACCAGCAGGCTAAAAGCTCTTAGGCAAGTTGTTTTTATTAATGCCCTGACTCTTCTTCATCCTTGTCCAGGTCCACTCAAGAGTCTCATTACCCCTCCAGGGCCAGTAGTTCTATACGCCATTTCTCAGCTCATACAGAATCAGCAGGGTGGACAGAGGGCTGTCACTCCATCAGGCATTTTGGCCAACTTCAAGATGAAATGTATTACCCAGTTAGGTTAATTGTTTCTATTCTTTTAGCTATCCAAACTTACATAGATATATGTGTGTGTGTATGTGTGTGTGTGTTTGTATGTGTGTGTGTCTTTCTCTCTTAGGAGAGAGAGAGAGAGTAGTTGACATGTTTTATTAAAAAGAATAAATTTGATGCATTTATAAAAATAAGAAAAGTATGATGGGGTAGCAAAGAGCTAGTCTTGTGATTTTTAGCTGATTTACATATTTTGTGTATAAATATTTTTTCATCAAAAGTTCCAAATCAGGGTTGGGTCCCACATACCACACAAAATATATTAGAGACATTTATATGGATAGCAGGAAGGGAGACAGAGGGCTGAAATTTTCCAGGCACCCAGTGATTGATGGGGGCTGAGGCTCCCCCTGACGCTTTATTGAGTTTCCGATGATTATCTCTCGCTGAGACATTTTTTACAGATGACGGTCGAGCTGTCACAATGGACCATGGGGGAAAAAAAACCAACAATAATAACACTTTAATCTTTTTACTGCACTGCTCCCTAGTATCTCAGATTCATCTTCTCTGACGCACGCAGTTCATTATTCTGCCCCTCCCTGGATGGGAAATAAAGGAAAATAAATATATATGTAGACACGCTTACCCACATGCATACACACAACACAGAGTATATAAAAGAGACCACCTCAGAACCAGAGAGGGGCAGAATTTATTGTTCTTTTTGCAAGTGTTGAGGTTTATTAGTAGAGATGCTTGGTTGGCTTGGAATTGGCTATTAATTACAGCGTTTTGTATTTGTTTTTTATTGCAAGTTTTTAACATCTTGAAGAAAAGGCAGAGGAGAGGCAAGCAGGTGCAGAGACGGGGATCACTGAGGGACCAGTTGGACCAGCCAGGTTGCATAGCTGCTCAGAAGCAGGCTTCTTGCGCTTGCTGCCAGCTTGTCCCTTAGGATCCTTGAAGCCAGAGACCACTGAGCACCATTGCTCTCTAAGAGTCAGGAAAGGTGAGAAGTGAAAGAAATTGAAGTGATGTTTGAGTTCTGATACATATCCTCAGCAGACTCAGGAGTTCTCCCCTTTGTACATTTGATGATGGGAAGATGTGTTGTGGGTCGGGAAAACCTCACCAGGTTCTCTGGTAAAGGAGTCCTGGGCCAAAGAGTATATGCCACGCAGTCTGTAAGCCGTCTTTAGTTCCTTGCCAGCCTTTCTGTTCTGCCTTCCTTTCCATGGGATTAGAAGAGATGAGCTGCCCTTCCTGTCAGAAGGCCGCTGGTCGGTCTTCCCTTTAATCCATCACACCTTTCCTGAGCCAGTATGTGCTAGCTTCGTCATTACACTCGGGAGGGGTGGTGGTGGGCCAAGAAGGAGTTCCTCAGGAGTTCATGAACAGAGAGCGTGGTACCTGTGAAAACCATTTTTAAGTGGAGGCTGGACCTGAAACCAGCCTCGGTCACCATGGGCTCATACATTACACAAAGGATAAAGCTGACGACAATATCCGTACTTTCAGAAGACAAGCTGGACATCTCACTGGGAAAGTATTTATTGAATACAGGAATGTAGTGCATGAAACTATGTAAACAGGCCCGTGCAGGAGGAGATGTCACCTAATTCAGTGTGAACTAGATATTACTACAATGCATAGAGGAAAGGAGATCATGACCTCAGGCTGCTTAGTTCATAAAGTGAGTCCACTGTCAGGAAATATGAGGCCAGAAGGAAGTCATAGTCCCACAGAAAAGACAGGCGTCTGAGCTGGACAGTCATAGCCTGGTGGTGCCACTTTAAACGACCTGCATGAGCCAAGACTAGTTTCTTTGTTTATTAATGGCAGCCTAGTGCATTTTTGTGAGGAAAATAGTTGATCAAGTCCCTGGCCTGATCTCTCACACATAGAATTCAGTGTGAAAAAAAGCCATTTCTTTTCTTAGCACAGTACTGGGGTGACGCCCCTGTGCCCCTCTACTGAGTATGAATGAGCGTCTGCTGTTCTCCATTGTTAGTGTTGGGGAGGGTTCCAGCATGGTAGGATGGCGTCAGGAGAAAGTGCATAACATAAATTTAGCACTTGTTGATTCTTGCCTGAATGCCAAATAACATATGAAGTTAACCATGTAAAATATATAACTTAGTGACGTATTCTTTCTCAAGAGTTATACAAGCATCACCCCAGTCTATTTTAGAACATTTTCATCACATCATAGGAAAACCTCATATGCTTATCAGTTATTCTCCATTTGCCCACAAGTCCCTGGCAGCTAATAATCTACCTTGTCTCTATAGATTGCCTAAAATGGACATTCTGTGTACGTGGAACCATATACCATATGGTCATTTGTGACTGACTTCTTTTCTCTAGCATTATGTTTCATACATAGTGTGGCAACTGTCATTACTTCATTCCTTTTTATGGTTGAATAGTATTCTACTAAATATCGTTTATCCCTTCATCATATGATGGATATTATATTGTTTACCTTTGGGTTTTTAAAAATACATGGCCATAAATATTTGTATAATTTTAAATTTATTTATTTATTTATTTATCTGAGATAGGTTCTCCTGTTGGCTCTGGCTGACCTGGAACTCACTATGCAGACTAGACTGGCCTTGAACTCAGACGTGGACCTCACTCTGCTCCTGAGTACTTTGTACCACCTGGGGCACATATTGACACCCCTCCAATCTATGTCAGATTTTATTTAAAGAATTATATATTTTGTATTATAATAAAATTTTAGACTTATAATTAATTGTAAGTATTGGTATTTTAGTACCATGAGCACCCCCGTACCCCTCAAATTATTGTTTGTCATATCATTTACATAGTACTTAGCACATGACAGAGCTAAGATAAGCAGGGCTGTGTGTGTGTGTGTGTGTGTGTGTGTGTGTGTGTGTGTGTGGTGCTGAGACAGAGCTACATGTGGACTCTGACTGCTGCTGACTCTCGGCTCTGGCTGTGGACCCCTGAGGCATAGACTTTGTAACATTCACAGGCAGGGGTAGGGGCAGAAGTGAGTAGAGTAGTGGTTGTCACTTTTCCTGTGGCCAGAGGGGGTGTGGGACCTCACTCAGAGACAGGGAAAGCATCTAGGAGAGGAGCCTACCACCCCCTGCAGGTGGGAAGATATCTTTGTTGAGAAGGGGACTCACTGACTGGGTCTCAGAAGACCACCTTGGTGGCCAGCTGGTGAGACAGGCTTGGATGCTCCTTTGGATGACTTTGCTTACTCTCCGGCCAAGGGGATGGGGGTGGGGTGTTGTTCCTTTTCTCCACCCCCTTTCTACCTTCATCATCTTTTGTGGCTTAAGAAGAGTGAGATCTCGGGATTGGGCCTTTTTAGCAGTTGGCAGTGGGGCTGTGTCTTTTCTATTACTATGAAGAAACGCCTTGACCAAGGCAAAAACAAACGAAGCACCATTTAATTGGGGACTTGCTTACAGTTTCGGGGGGGGGGGGTGTTTTGGGGAATGATTCCCTGGCAAGAAGTGTGGCAGCAGACCAGTAGGCTTGGCTCCAGAGCAGTATCTGAGAGCTTACATTTTACGTACAAGTTGGAGGCAGAGATAAAAAGACTGGGCCAGGTATGGGCTTTTGAAATCTCAGAACCCACCCCCAGTGACATGCCTTTTCCTAAAGACCATGCCTCCTAATCCCTTCCAAAATGCTCCTACCAGCTAAGGACCTCAGGCTGCTAACACTGGGCAGTGCAGAAAAAAGTTCATGCCAAACACAGAATTGGCATGGGAGATTCCTGCTTGCCGCCTAATGTCATTCTTCTGAACTCCAGGACTCCCATACAAAATGGGAGCATAAACTTACAGCTCCTGGGGCAGCAGTTCTGAAGTGACCTTTGGTTGTGTGTGTGTGTGTGTGTGTGTGTGTGTGTGTGTGTGTGTGTGTGT